AATAATATTATTATTAAATTTATTAAAAAATTATTTTAAAAAATAAATTATTTTTTTCTAAATTATGGTGGGCCAGTCCACTGGCACTAACCCGCCTCATGGTGGGGCAGGCCAAGATCTACAACCCGTCATGACTATATCGGGCCAGCTGTCCGTGCCGCTTTTAGTGGCAGACCTGTTTGCCATCCCTAGTTAAAAGTTTAATTTTTAGTTGAAGATGAAGTAAAATGTATTTGATAAAATTATGTAATCATATGGTTCTTGAGATAACATAAAATAACCTGAATCATATAATAAGAGTAGTCTGAACCAACTGTTCATAAGAATTTTAAAAATATATATCTAAAAAATGAAATTAACTTATTTTATAAGTTAAATTATGTTATGTATAAGTTAATTTAAATATTTTTCTTATATAATTCTTTCAAATTTTTATTTTAACTTATGAAAAAGATAATTTTTTTATATAAGTTTTTACCGAAAATATCGTATGAACATATTTTAAGTATACTATTATATACATTCTAGGATCTCATCTCAACTCAACCATGAGTTATTGATACTTTTTGTCAGATTCTACTAACTTCACACTTATTTATTTATTTATTATTATTTTAATAAATGCAATAATGTATTTAAATAGATAGTTTTACAAGGTAAATAAACACTAAAAAAATATCATTTATAATACTTTTTTTTTAAATTAAATATTTACATTAATTGAATTAATGCTATTATAAGATAAATTATAGCATAAACAATAAAATTATGCAGACACACGTAAGTGACAATTTGTTAGAATAAGTATGAATTAGAATATTAAATATAAATAAGAAAAGTAAATAATTTAAATATGAAAAAGACATGCAATCCTATAATTTTTGTTGTAGGTGAAGTTATATATTTTGTAGAGTTATTTTCGTTTTTTAATTAAATATTCACTCCCAAAAATTCAACACATAAAATGATAAGATAAATTAAAAATTTTATTTTTTTCAACTCAATTAACAGTTCAGATTTAAAAGATATTGAATTTTATTTTGTATGTGTGTGAGGTAATGATGTTAACTATAATTAAATTAATAAGCTCGCATACGTACGTGAAGTTATTTAAATGCATTAATTTTGTGTGTTTAAAAAAACTCTGTAAGTGCATTTAATTCACTAAAAGGATAAGATAACTTTAAAACATTTTTTTTTCATTTTAGCCTTTAAAAATAATTGAGATATAACAAAATAAAAAGAGGATAAATTAGGAACATATTCTTACATATATTTTCACCTAAAAGTAATAGCCATTACCATTTCATCAACATTAACGAGAACAATAAAAATAATTAACAATCAAAACCTAAAAAAATAAACTTAACTATCCAAAAATAAATTAAATGAAAATTTGAGTTGTTTTTATCATCGTTTCCCCATGAATCTGAGCCGCTCTACGATGTTTCTCTATTTAAAAATGGGCTGGTACTGATCTGTTAAGCCCAGCTTCTACTTCCCAGCCCATTTTTATTGGGCTTGGGCTTGATTTCACTTTGCGATATTATATATATTTTAGAAAAAAAAAACATGTTATTAATGATATTATTAGTTTTTTTTTTATGAAAAAAGTAATTCACTTTGATGTTATTAATGATATTATATCGCAAAAAGTAATTCACTTTGGTTTAACTATTAAATTATTTTTTACTATTGAATATCATAAAACCAACCAAAACAAATGAAATTTCGTAAAATAATACCTACCTAAGTTTTTAAAATGATCAAAAACTAAAATACTCTACATATATAATTTAAAATAGTAATTTGAAAATTTATTGAATCCTTAATTGGGCCAATAGACGCGAGGGATTTCATACTGGTGTGTGTGGTGTAGAGAAGCGTTGGAAAATGACGAGTGTGAGATATTATTGGATTAGTTGTGAATCTTAGTTTCATGTCATCCCAAAGTCAACTTTAAGCACGGGTGGCTTTGGAACCCCCAAAAAATAAACAAGTGGCACAAGTTGAGACTCACTAATGACTAGATTCATTTCAGAATTAAATAGTAAATAAATACAATTAGTTTAAAAAACTAGTTTCCAGATTATCATTTTAAATAGTTTGAATAATCAAGGATTTAATTTGGATAAACCTCACCCCACGATTGACTTTGGTAACAACCAACTGTTGTCACCTTTATCATCTTACAATTTTTTTAACCCTTAAGTCTTTATCACGAAAACATTTCCATGTAGGTATTTAGAATTGTTGTATTAAGTGTGTTTGTATTGTAACATGTTACTAGATTTCTTGCTCCATTGAAACATGATACATGTAGGAGTAGGACCCCATGTGGTGATGAAAATGTTATGAAACCAAAAATGTTTTGGAAGAAGAAAGATGTCATAGAATCGTGGCAATATCTTAATGATTGAAGCAAAATAATGGTGGGAATCGTCTTGTTTTGCATACCATGTCCCTTTTGTGAAGTATACTGCATATACTTTGATGATTAATGCTTACTTACACTACCTTTCCATCTTTTCGTGTTAGCTACCTCCATAACCATTAAGAGATTGTGTCTCACACAATAACCATTACCCATCTTTTTGACAAAGTAAGGAGGTACACCTCAATTTCCACTTCAACAATTTTATATCAAATGAAAGGTACTCCAAGACAACTGCTTATAGCTTTTTCTATCAATTATTTAAACTTTCTAAACATGCATTTTATATTTGGCATGTGTCAATGTCACTTCATTATTTTATCATCGCACCAATTATAATTCTTCTCTCACATATTCTCACGCATCACCTTGTTCTAATTTGTATTTGTCTGTATGAAATAGATAAATACAATTATATTTACATGGCATAAGTTACTGGTGCAAAGTGGATGCGGTTTTTATCGCCATACATATATTATATTATATATATGCATAAATATATGGTTGAAGTTGTGAATTAAGAAGGATAATGATTGAAAACGAAAAGAATCAGTGGCGATGGAAGGGACAAGTTAGATGATTGGCTTTGGCAAGCTTTTGCTCTGCATCTGGACCAACCCTTCCACTAACCATTTACAGATTCGTGAGTGGGAAAGGAAAGTACAGAGAGAAAATTAAAACCTTCAAAAAAAGGGGTTCAACCCTGAAGTATCTGCTTCCCCCTTTCGGTTCTCTTTTCCCTTATGCTCGCTGGTATATCTCAATTTCTTCAATCTGATAAATTATATGTATCTGTTAAAGTCGCACTTCATCGTTAAATTCCCCAAGATTCCTTAGCCTTAATGTTGGAATTATATCCTCCTAGTACCTACAACACTACTTTTCCATGTTAAACATGGTGATTGGAAAACTGTAGGAGTTTGTAGCATCTCATTGATTCTCGTCCATGCATGCATTGAAGTAGGCAAAGATATAACAGGGTATCAACCGACGGAATTAATCACCCCGAATCAGCGTATGCATTTCAACTTTCTAAGATTATATTCGCCAATCGATCAACCTAAGATTGCAGTTGTCGCATGCTTGCATGCATGGGGCTTCACAAATATATAAATTTTGACGTACTGTAGTAACCAGTCAACTCATTAAGATGATCACTGTAGGTTTTTCTTTACAAAATATATATCTAACCTTGGATATTAATCACTATATTTCAATAAATATACATTATAAAGTCCCACTTATTTTAATTCCAGATAATGAACAATTATAAATACGTTTCTCAATACATCAAATGAATTGACAAAACTTTTTTTTTTAAGACCTTTTCACTTTTAATTTAAGTTTTGGTTTGGTTCTCTTATATTTGTGCATAATTCTTGAGAATTTAAATTTAATAAGATTATTTCCGTTATACAAAACAAAGAGTGAGAGTTCTGCGAGCGTATTAAAATTACTGCCAAAATTTATCAAAAAGAAAAAATGAATTGTCATTATAATAATGAATTATTTTCGTAATTGTACTGGACGCACCCAAAAATGGATGGAAAATCATGATAAGCCAAGACTTTAATTAATTAATTAAGTTCATTCATTGATTAGTTAGTTTTGTAGTTTACAGTAAACGAAGATAACATATTTTAAAAAATAAAAATAATTTATATAATTAAAATTTAAAAAGACTAATATAACAAAAATGTTATAATAATAATAATAATATAAGTATTTTTAACGTGCGCGTGAGAAGATGAGCGTGGGAATATTACCACCAATTGGATTAAAGAAAGAATATGCTCTGTTTTTCGTTGAAAAGAATAGTTGTTTGTAGTATATAAGGAAAGTTCTCTTATTTGTGAAGGATTTCATTTTTGCACATTTATCCGTTTGGTTTGGGAAAAAAAGAAATCTCTTTTAAACTCTAACTCAGTTTTAAAATTTTAACCTTTTTGGAAAACTTACGTAGGTGTGGAAAAAAAGTAAGTAAAAATATTAATTTGAAATAAATAAAGAAAAAGCATCTACGATCAATATCAACTGAGTTAGACACACTTGCCAATTATTCCCCAACCTAGTACAGAAACAATAGCAATAAAATAAATTTAGTGATTGTTTGCGTTACGGTTCGGTATAGAAAAAATAACATATATTCAACGTTAATTTTTATTGCAGAAATTATGAAATAAAAGAAAGAGAGCAGATATTGCAAATCAGTTAAAGTAGGAACAACAGCAACAATAAGTTTTTGGTAAATGTTAATTTGTTTTGCAAATGAGTTAAAGAGGAATAATGTATTGCAAATCTTGTGCTGAAAGTAGGGACGGTTAATTCTTGCTTGGTTCTTGTAAGAAGCTAAGTGCGTTGTATGGTGTTTGGCATGGTTCATCACGCACTATAAATCTTTATCCAACTGCTTCCTCTATTGGCACTCGAGAAAAGGCTGTTACCACCCATCTATTTAGCCTTTAAAAATTAAAACTCTTTCCCCCACCATTAAGAAACTCGTGCATTCAACCAATCCCAAGGTACAAAAGGAAAGAAACCAGACACACAAGTGAGCACAGCAACAATGTCAGCAACATGTAAAGTAGGAGACAACCTAAGCTTAACCGATAAAACCAACCAACCCTTTTCACCTCCTCCGCCTATACACACCCAAAAATGTCCTGCCAATTCAGTGAAGATGCTGGTCTCAGAGCTAAGAGTTCAACGAGGAATAGCCCTTCCAATGGTGGCCATGAATTTGGCTTGGTTTGCCAAGACAGCCATCACAACAGCCTTTTTAGGCCGTCTTGGGGAGCTTAGTTTAGCAGGTGGAACTCTTGGCTTCACTTTTGCTAATGTGACTGGCTTCTCTGTCCTCAATGGTCTATGCGGTGCCATGGAACCCATATGTGGCCAGGCTCATGGTGCCAAAAACTTCAGGCTTCTTCACAAGACCCTTCTCATGACAATTATATTGTTGCTGTTGGTATCACTTCCCATCACTCTCTTGTGGCTTAATGTTGACAAAATTTTGATTCATTTTGGGCAGCAGCAAGACATCTCCATCGTGGCAAGGCGCTATGTTTCGTCTCTCATACCCGACTTATTTGTTGCCTCGATCTTCTGTCCCTTAAAAGCCTATTTGAGCTCTCAGAGCATAACTCTTCCGACCATGTTTAGTTCGGCTGTGGCACTGGCTTTCCACATACCCGTTAACATAGTTCTCTCGAAGAGGATGGGCCTCACAGGAGTTTCCATGGCGGTTTGGATAACTGATCTTATTCTTGTTGTTCTGCTAGCCATTTATGTGCTAATTCTTGAGAACAAAAAGGGAAGCATGTGGAAGGAAGGAGGGTGGTGGGATCAGAGCATTGAGGATTGGATTAGGTTAGTTAAGCTTTGTGGATCATGCTGCCTCAACACATGCCTTGAGTGGTGGTGCTATGAGATCCTAGTTTTGCTTACCGGCCACCTCACAAATGCTAAGCAAGCAGTGGGAGTTTTGGCCATTGTGCTAAACTTCGACTACTTGCTTTTCTCGGTGATGCTGTCACTGGCCACTTGTGTTTCCACTCGTGTCTCAAATGAGCTTGGTTCGAACCAAGCTGGCCTTGCCTACCGATCAGCGTACGTGTCTCTGGCATTGGGCTTTATCTGTGGTTGCATAGGTAGTTTCTTGATGGTGGCTGCCAGGGGAATTTGGGGGCCACTGTTTAGTCATGATAGGGGAATTATAAAGGGAGTAAAGAAGACGATGTTGCTGATGGCTCTGGTGGAAGTGTTTAATTTTCCTTTGGCAGTTTGTGGAGGCATAGTTCGAGGGACAGCACGACCCTGGTTGGGCATGTACGCGAATCTAGGTGGATTTTATTTCCTGGCCCTGCCACTTGGCATTGTTTTTGCCTTCAAGCTCCATCTTGGCCTTGTTGGACTCTTCATTGGACTCGTAACCGGTATAGTGACCTGCTTGACGTTGTTACTGGTATTCATTGCGCGGTTAAACTGGGCGGAAGAAGCTTCCAAGGCACAAACACTAACAGGCAACGAGCAGGTTGAGGAACTTCCGAAATATGGAGAACGAATTGACGCCCGTGAAAAAGATTAGTGTAAAATAGTAATTAGAAACTTGTCTATCATCTTCTAAGCAAGCTCATACGTATCTCCAAACACCAGGCCAGGACGAAAAGGACATGGCTTAACCGTGTGGACAAATTAATATCCCAATTGCTTCTCATTTGTCTTCCCCATTTTGTATGGTTTTAGATCACTTTCTACTGCTTTACTTTTGCGCGCGTCTTTATTTCTTTCTTTCTCTTTGTCTTCTTTGAGAGAGAAGAGGCGCTCACATTTGAAAATCTTAAATCATACAACTAGAATATAATTTGAAGTTTATTGTTTTGTGTCTTCACAAGACTGAAGTCCAGGTGTCTTCATACCAAATTTATTGCTCATGTCTCGTTACCCTCTTCTTTTTTTTCAACATTTTTTTTTTTTAAATTACTTTCAATCAACTTACAGTGCATCAAAACTTTATATTCATTCAATAAAAAGTACAAGGTAATACTCCAAGTTTTTTTTTCACCAATCTCCAAAACAATTCGAAAGTTCATTTAATTCTTAACATTAGATATATAATGATTTTTCATTTTTCAAGACTTAATGAACTAAAAATCATTAAGAAAAAGGTTAATAAGATTCAATGAAATAAACAATTTGAATTAATGTAAGACAGGTCAATTTAACTTATGTAGCTAAATAGAAAAAAAGCCTAAATTATATCAATAGTGCATATGAATAAATAATATCAAAATTATTCAAGTCAAGTTCTAAAATACTTACAAACATGATTAAATCACACAACAAAGAAAAACAATAGACTCAAATCTTACTAAGGTAAATATTCTATTAAAAATGATAAAAAAATCTATTTTTTCATGAAAAATTAACTATACTCAAATGAAAGATACATATTTATCAAATTTAAAAGCTTTTATCTAAAAATGATGAAGTAAAAGTTGCTTACAAAAGATTTAAAAATAAAAGTATCAAATGAAAAATATGTTAAGAAAAATATATACTAAAAATAACAAAAAAAACAAGAAAATAACGAATGAAAATCGAATACAAAATCAAACACATACTTTCTCACACTTGATCAATGTGAAAATACAATATAAAGAGAAAATGAGAAGCAAATAAAAAAAACAACACAAAGTGAAACTAAAAATCAAATAGAACTAAGCAAAACAAAACAAAATTAAACAAAAGAAATCGAAAAAAAAATTCTAGCAAAATGACAACTAAATCAAAATTAAAACAAACAAAAGAAATCAAAATGAAAATAAAAGAAATGAAAAAAATGAATTTAGCAAACTCAATCAATGGCCCTCATCCATGTATATGTTCTCTGATTTATCTTTATGTGATGCTTCTTTTGGAAAAGAAACCTCCATTTGATTAATTTGAGTATAATATCATGCTTCATCAACAGGAATTTAAGTAGCACTACATGATTAGAATAGATAGCAACGGTGGAGCTAAACAAATATAAACAAGATCTATCTAATGCAAACATAATAGGTAAAAGCTCTTTGCAATGGTGGTATAATTAGCCTGACCTGCATCAAGTGTGCTAGCACAAAGTTGTTGCTGAGTAGATGGCAATGAAAATGTAGGAACATCAACAACAGTTACATGTGGAATAGCATCTACAACCGCACAAGGAATGTCTTAGAGACAGGATGTATAACATAGTTAATTTCAGCACATATAGCACATATGTCTGCGTCACAAGTGCAGCCAGAAACTATATCAATGTCAATGAACTGTGAAAACTCACCATTTAAGTTTAAACCTACTGAATCTAAAATTAAATCCGAAACAAAATCTGAAACTAAAATAGAGTTTGAAACTAAATCTATATAAGAAACATCTATGATATCATGAAGAAGTGATGACAATGGTTGAGTTGGAATGTGCTGCTGCTGCATATTATTAATTATAGTGACTAACTGAGTTTGAAGATCTTGAGTTTGAAGATCTTGCATTATGGTTGACATACTCTCCTAGAACTGCATATTGTTATAAGCCATTTCATCATTTCTTCAAAAGAAGGACCTAAATCTGTTTGCACAGGTGGTTGGATATTTACATTAAAATCTTGTTGAAACTGCAGATTATTTGTGGTCATCTGCTTTATCAAATCCTCCAATGAATGATCAAAACTGGTTTGCATAAATGGTTGGTGCATGGACTGAGAAGGGGTGTACTGTTGCTACTAGAAATGTGAATCATATCCCTATAATTCGGATTCCAATTAGGATTATACATCATGGAACAAGAATGATACTGTTGCTGAACTGGTCGCTTGTAGAAATCTTGTGATACAGGGAACACATTTGTTACTACCTCATGTTGATGCATGTCTCTTGAAAATGAGAGTAAAAATTTGTATAATAATCATACGTTATGCCATATTGTTCTACAAAATTCTATTGTCCCATGATTAGCTGGCTCAATAGAGATGTCAATTCCGTCAAATTGCATTGCTACAACACAATTATGAATTGCTTTACTGAGGGTAAAAATTTGTATAGTAGTCATGTGTTGTGTCATATTGTTCTGCAAAATTCTATTGTCCCATGATTAGCTGGCTCACAAGAGACGTCAATTCGGTCAAACTGCACTACTACATCACAATTACAAATTGAATCAAAGCAAACTTCAAAAGAAACCAATTCAAAAAAAAATTTGCAAAGCATCATTCCCAATTCTGAACTTTAAAACCACATTTACAAGCGCATTGCTCTCCTTTGATTGCTAGTCAGCTACTATGTGAGGAATGTTGGACCGCTTTAATTTGAACCAATCACACTAGCGGATACTTCCAATTTTAGCAACCACCGAATAGACCCAATCAACTGCTGAACGAGACACCTTGCTACTTTGATTTAATTATACCACACCAAAAGCAGATCAGTAATTGCTTCAAAGAACAAGACTACACCGCTTGATCTACTAATCAAGACACCTCTTGCTTGTACTTTCAATTGAATGGCTTAAAATCATCCACCAAGAATAACCAAAAAAATGTAATTTGTAGCTGTTGGAAAGAGTGAAAGTTGGACCGCATGTTTCTATTGGGTTGTTGTACCAATTAGAAAATTATGCTTTGCAACACCACAATTAGTTACACCTCTTCGACTAAAAGTTCAGCCACCTCATGCTTGGATTCTCTAATGATCAAACTTTGCACACAATTATAGAGTTAAGAATAGCAAAATTGATTTGAGTCAGCAGCAGCAAAACTGAATAGAGTTATCAGTAACCAAACTGAATATATACTCAGAACTGGTCACGATCACTGGTCAGGTACAACTTCACTTCACTGTGAATGATTTAGCACGGTCAAATTTGGCACAATCAGAATTCAGTTGTGGCAGCACCTCAAATGATGATGGCAGGGGCACTGCACTACTGAAGATGGTAAACAACTCCCGCAGTAAGCTTTTACACGTTGACAGTAAACCACACCAACCAGCAAACACACTCAATACTGAACTTTTAATTCTGCTGTTAATTAAAACTAACTTAGAAAACAACACCACAATGTTTTAAACCCTGATTAACCAGTTCATTTTAAGCAACGACTCCATTTCATTTTATACCGCATATTTGCTTTGCACCAGTTGCTTAAAAGAATTCTGCACCGCACCACTAGCTATTGCACTGCATAATTGCCAGCAGCTGCTTGATTCAATTAATTCGTTACAACAAAATATCTAAGTAAAAGACCAATTGCTTCTAATTCAGCACCACTCAGCTACTTAACGGACCATGGACCAAATACATACTTGCCACATTTGTCACAAGGTTTATTTGAGAAACGATCACAATAATTGTATCTTCTTTTTCGGCTAAATTTGTTTTAGGAGGATTGTTGTTTCTCATTCTACGTCTGCACTGAGGTGCATAATGACCCGACTTTCCACAGACAAAGCAATTTCCCTTCTTTCTGAAGGTGGGGTTAGATCTATTGGGACGAGAATTTTTAAAATTAATTTTCTTCTTATAATCAGGTTTTTTCTCGTACCTTTTTGGAGTTGCTTTGTCTTCTATCATATTTGCCTTAACTGATAATGCTTTAGCCCTTGCAGCAGCACACTCCTTCCGTTTGGTATCTTCGATGATGATGTGTGTGATCAGATCTGCTAGCGACATCTGTTTATGTCTATGCTTTAGTTGTTGTTTGTAGTCTGTCCAGGATTCTTAAAGCTTTTCGATTAGAAGTTCTGAAACGAACTCATCAGGTAGGACTATATTTTCGGCTTTAATCTCTTCAAGTAGTTTGTGGTACTCGTTAATCTGGATCTTGATATCCTTATCTTCTAGCATCTCCCAGCGGTAGTAGTTTCCAATAACAAACATTTGTCTCACGACATCTTCGGCAGTGTATTTGAGAATCAATGAATCCCAAATATCTTTGGCTTCCTTATAGGAACAATAAACATCGAACAAATCATTAGACAATGCACTAAGCAAGGTGTGTCGACATACCTTGTTCGAATGAACCCAATCTTCAGTTTGTTTAGCAGGAGCAACGGAGTCAGGTTTGGTAGTTGTAAGAGCATAAGTCACTCCATACAGGTCTAAGAGAGTAGAAATACGTTCTTGCCAGCACCAAAAGTTTTGCCCAATGAAAACTTCAATTTTCGAAACGTCCGGGAACGGTTTCGCAAAGACAGTTTGAGTTCCGGAAATGTTGTTTGTCTTTTCCGATGTGGAGTTGTTGGTATCCATACTGTCAGCCATAAGTCCTTAAGATTGTTGTCAAATTAAGATTGTTGTCAAAGCTGACAGAGACACGAGCAAACTTTATTCCTGAGGCGTGTATAATCACTGTCCTTAAGGACTTATCCGCGGTGTATTGCGCAAGTCCCCCAGGATATAACAGCGGAATATCCGAGATCTCAGAAACAAAACTCTCAAAAGAGTAAATTAACCCAGGATCACAGAAAGAAGATCAGAGAAGATGAGAGAAGTGTGTTCTGAAGAGTGTGAAGTGATCTCTATTTATAAAAGAAAGTATGTAACAGTTATGGAAGA